ATATATGAGGCTAAGGGAGAAAGAATGACTCCATATTTGAAGAAGGTAGAAGAGCTAATGAGAAAGTTTGTGTAGGTTAAGGTCGTGCATGTCACCAGGGCTGAAAATTCCCAAGTCGATGCCTTAGCCAAGCTAGCCACTACTTCCCAACAAAGTTTAGATAGACTCATTCCAGTTGTGCTCCTAACAGAACCATCAGTAAGCTCTAATTTCGAGGAGGTATTTCTTATTCAGAATCAACCAATTTGGATGGACCCAATTAAGGACTATCTACAAGATGAAACCCTTCCAACAGATTCCAAAGAAGCAGAATGGCTAAGAGCCAGATCTTCCAGATTCAACATCCTCCAGTCCAGGGGAATTTGTACAAAAGAGGCTTCTTATCACCACTCTTGAGGTGTGTTGACATTGAAGAGGCAAACTACATCTTAAGAAAAATCTATGAAAGCATCTGCGACAATCACATCGGAGCTCGAGCTTTGGCTAGTAAAGTTCTAAGGCAAGGATAATTTTGGCTCACCATGCTCAGAGATGCAGTAGAGATGGTTAAGAAGTGCAAAACCTGTCAAGTGCATGCCAATATTACACACTGCCCGTCAGAGCTCCTCATCTCGATGATTAGCCCATGGTCATTCCAATAGTGGGATTTCGACATACTCGGCCCTCTTCCAACAAGCACAGGACAATGCAAATTTGTTATAATAGGGAGTAGATTAGTTTACCATGTGGGTTGAGGTGGAACCTCTTGCGAAGATCACAGAGTAGAAAATTAAGAGTTTCACTTGAAAATCCATAATCTGCAGATTTAGGATCCTAAGGGCATTGGTCTTAGATAACGAAAAATAGTTTGACAACTCAAGGTTCAAAGGATTTTGGGTCAAGCTAAGCATAAAAAACTACTTCTCTGCACCAGCTTATCCCCAGTCAAATGGACAAGTAGAAGTGACCGTCCGGACCATAAAAAGAGCTCTAAAGACTAAACTAAAACCTTAAAAGGTCGATGGGTGGAACATCTGTCAAAAGTGCTATGGGCTTACAAAACCACTTTAAGATTGACCACTCAAGAAATACCTTTCACCCTGGCTTATGGCACTGAAACAGTAACCCCTGTAGAAATAGGCATTACATCTCCCAGGACAGAGTTAATCAACCCCAAGCTAAACGATGAGTCAATCCTAGTCAATCTCGACCTCTTAGATGAAAAAAGGGATAGAGCCTTACAAAGCATCCTGGACTAGCAGAGAAAGATAGCGAGATATTACAACATAAGGGTCAGACACAGGAGTTTCAAAGTAGGAGATCTGGTCCTCAAGAAAATTTTCCCAGTCAAAAATAACCCCACCTATAGGAAGCTAGGGCCTAATTGGGAAGGTCCGTACATCATATCCAGAGTGATCAGACCAAAAAATTATGAGCTACGAACTAAATAAAGTAGAATTTTCCCTCAATCTTGGAATGCTGACCAATTGAAAAAAAAATTCAATAACTAAGAATTGTACCCTTGTAAAAACTCACTGCAATAAATAAGAAGTTTCAGTTCAATTCAGTCGTCATTCTACTACTACTACTACAAGATGAGTTTTTCAACTCATAAAACTAAGATGAGCTATTCAGATCATAAAACTAAGATGAGTTTTTTAACTCATAAAACAATGATGAGCTTTTCAGCTCATAAAAACAGAGATGAGTTCTTCAACTCATAAAAATAGAGATGACTTTTTAGCTCATAACACAGAGGTGAGCTCTTCAACTCACAAAATATAGATGAGCTCTTCAGCTCATAAAATAGAGATGAACTATTCAACTCATGAAACTATGATGATCTCTTCAGCTCATAAAACTAAGATGAACCCTTCAACTCAATTTCTTAGCCTACCAACAAAACCATGACCTCCACAGCTCATAAGGATGAGCTTTTCAGCTCATAAATCCTTTAGCAAAAAGATAAGCTTCTTAGATAAAGTCCCTCAGCTCATGAACAGACCTCATACTTGAAAATTTACCAAGACAGAACTATTCCTAGAAGAACAAAGTTCTCCTTGAAGTAAGGGAGCAAAAGGGAGATGGCAAGACAAACATACAGAAACAAGATATTTTCCCATTCCTTCCAAGAACTATTATAAAGACAAGAAATTTTTCAAACAAAAAGTTCTAATGGTCCACAGAAGGATCTCTGATTTCTTCAATTTGGAGCATCTCAGGGTAGTCACTTTCTCTGTCAGAACAGGGGGAAGGTCAGATGAAGTAGGAGGAAGGTTAGTTAAAGTAAAAGGAGCCTTAGAAGGGACATGTCTTGGAACTTCAACTTCAGGCGGGGTGATCTCAAGAACTCCCACCTCTGCTAAAGTTGTCTCCTAAGCCGAAACGGGCCCAGAAGACTCAACCCCAGTCTTTGTAAAATCAAGCTCAAGAGCTCCAACCTTATCCCCAACAAGAACAACAGCAAAAACTTCGACCTCACGGACGACGCCAAGAGTTGCAACACCGGCCGCAGCCTCCTTTTCAGCAACTGATTCATCTTTCTCCTTGTCTAAAGGAGGATTAAAGTCGAAGTCCAGATCTGGGTACGCATCCATGGTCTGCTCCTAGAAGGCAAAATACCCAACTGCCCAATTTGTAGCACATTCATCCTGGAGCTCTGCCATCTCGGTGTCCCTCACCCTCACCTTTGCCCTCTCTACCTCAATCTCCTTCAACAGCACGACATTAACCTCAGCCAACATATTGTATATTTTCTTCATAGACCAGAGGGAATCAAGAGCCTCGAAGGGGTCCTTCCACGCCTAAAATAAGTTATCAGTCTTAAGTTTTCGCTCGTCACTCTCCTTTTTAGTCTCAGTCTCTAAGCCTTTGTTTGCTGAGCTCAACCCCTTGACTTAAGCCTTCAGGTCTTGTACCTGAGCTTTTAGATGATCGTTGGCAAAAGCTAACACTGTCACAGCCCATTCCTCTAACTAAAAGTGTATTTAAGGTAATTAATAAAATTCTTATACCAAACCATGGACACTTTGAATCTAAAGATTTCTTCTCATTATATTTGCATTCAACATTGCATATGATCATATACTTAGCCTTAATTTAATTGCCATTAACACAAAAAACAGGTTCCTCAGAGTGCACTAGAAGTTTGACATAGGGGAAATACCATAACTCGTCTCTAAACTTTGGTTTCGGCATTAATTTGATTCCTAAACTTTCAATTCTCCCAATTTAGTTCATCTCAATTTAAGTTCTACCATCGATTTCCACCATTAAATCAATCGAAGGTTGGCTCAATATGGTTCATTTCAGCTTTGATCTAATGGTGGAAATGGACAAAATGACTTAATTGAGACAAAATTTATAGTTGATGGACTAAATTCAGACAATTAAAAGCCCAAGATTCAAATTAAAACCAGAGAAAAAATTCAAGAACCAACTATGACATTTACTCTATCTAGAAAGACGTAGACTCTGTGGGAAAACAGAGAGAAATGTCCTCCACTATGAGAGGACCTTTAATAGGTAGGTTTATTGAAGAAGGTGTATGTGGGATGTGGCTATAAATCTATTAATTTTATATTAGAGTATTTAATGGGGTGAGAATGAATATTTGTAAAGTGAGAATAATCTCGTCTCTTTGCGAAAGACTATAATAACTATAGATATCTGGAGAGTTCGAAAAACTATGTATTTCATGCGGCTCAAACTTGGATGAACTTTCATGCACAAAAGTGTGTTCAATTTGAAGAAAAATGACTTGTGGCAACCCTTTGGCCCAACTCGTCCTTACCTAGTTGATAGGCCTACTTGCGATTGCAAACCAAGGTTTTGTGTAAATATCTCGATAATCATATAAGTTTCAAAATATAATACAAAGCACTAGACCTTTAACAAATAACAAATATATCCTTGTCAGAATTTTTAAGCTGGCGTGTGGAGGAGTGAGATCTTCTTTAACAAATTTTGTTTCAGTTTTCCTATTTGGTAGATCACTTACTCTTAATTTGAGAAGGACCCATTATATATAAGTGGGTTTCTCACTCTTATATGAGTGAGTAATCCATCAAAGAGGAACCTAGAGAGAAAAAGTATCAGAAAAAATTCGAATCCCAAGTGAAAAATCACCATATCATACGCCATATTTCACCCAATTAACCATACACTTCAATGATGTTGATATTTTTTCTGGCCACAAAGTGTCTCAAATACAAAACACAACTATAGAATTGTTGATGTCATTTCTAAAATAATTATACGTCTCGTTCATATTACTCCTACCTTATAGATTTAATAAGAGACTATGTTGCCTTTTTTCATAGTGTGAATGTTGTAAGATTGTAAATTTGTTAATGCAAGTGAATGCATTAAATTGTTTCAATTCTACCTTTGCTTTTAACTTAAAGGTTAAGAAATGAGAGTGTGAATGCATTAATTCGTTGCAATGGTGTATTTCCTTAGTCTATGTGAATACATTAATTCGTTGCACTTGTGTATTTGCTTAGGAGTTAAGGAAGGAACACAACTGTTTGAGACATGTAAAGACTCTTACAACTGCCTTTTCTTCATTCTATCCCTCAAATCCCCACCCCACCACACAAAACAAAAAAAATCCCTTTCTCTCTCCTTAGCGAATTCCAGAGGCCTCTCTCTCTTTCTCTCCCAGAAGAAGAAAAAGAAGACCCTCTTTCTCATACAGTGAAATGGGTCAAATGGAGAGCAAAGGTGGGTATTTGACAGAAGATGTGTTGATCGAGATATTGTCAAGAATGTCTGTGAAATCTTTGTTGCAATTCAGGTGTGTCTGCAAATTTTGAAAAAATCTGATTGATAGTCCCGCTTTTCATTTCCATTCATTTACAACACAACAACAACAACAAGGACAATACCCGTCTGGTGGTACACTATCACAATGAGCTTAAGGACATGGGGGACATCGTCTTATTCCCGGACAAAACACTTACAGTGCCCACATATCACAATATGGGCATATCCTTCCCCGTATTTAATCGGCTTGGTAGTCCTATTGACGATGTTTTTTGCCTATGTGATAAACGTGAACGCATTGCTCTGTGGAATCCCGCGACAAGCGCATTCAGGGCTCTACCATTGTGGCGCACGAAGTTGTTTCTGTGTGACTGGATCCCTTGTCCCTGCGGCTTTGGATTCGGGTTAGATCCCACCAGTGATGATTACTAGGTAGTTTGGATTCGGACTTTTGATGACAGGAACACCGATAAATGGAGCCTATTGATGGATCCCATACATGCTGCTGTTACACTTTAAGCACATATTCATGGAAAGATTTCAAGGGTGATCGATAAGAATTGGATTATATTTCATTATAGTAGGCGTAGGCGTAAGGATTAGAAGTTATTTGTCATTATGCATTTCAGGAGTTTAGTTGTCATTACGACTATTTATTTCTTTTAGGATTTGTGGTCTCCCTATATATATAGGAGATATGTTATTTATTTTGGTAGACTTTGATTATTGACTATTGATATTGAATCTTCTTCCTAAAATTCTCTCTCTATTCTAATCACCACCTTCTTTTCTCATCTCTTTCTTCTTCACTTTTCATCCTTAATTATTCTCTAATACGATCAACATCAATTTGGTATCAGAGCTAGTGCGATCTATATCAATTTGGTATCAGAGCTAGTACGATCTATATCAATTTGGTATCAGAGCATTATCATGATCTTATCTCTCCGGAGTCGAATTCTTTTCAGCGGGAGAAAATGATAAGAATCAGATTATATTTCGTTATAGTAGACGTAGGCGTAGGCGTGAGGATTAAGAGTTATTTCTCATTATGTTTTTCAGGGGTTTAGTTGTCATTATGACTATTTATTTCTTTTAGAATTTGTGATCTCCCTGTATATATATAGGAGATATGTTATTTGTTTTAGTAGACTTTGATTATTGAGTATTGATATTGAATCGAATCAAGAATCTATATATATAGGAGATATGGATATTTGTTCTCCCGATTGTCTACGTTTTTTGATAGATTCTTGCTTCGATTCCTACTTGAATGGTGTTTATTACTGGTGGTCTAAATCTGTACATTAGCAAGCTGGTTTCGTTTGACATGGGGAAAGAGGAGTTCAAAGAGTTTCAAGGGCCACCTGATCTTCACCAAGACTCAGACTGCGAGATTCGTACGTTGTACAATGGCTCTATTGCTCTGATTTATTCTCATTCACGAGTGCCACTAGATGCCTGGGAATCAGCTGAGCAGTCATCACTTGCTGTGTGGGTACTGATGGAGGAGGAGGGATGTTGGATCAAGCAATTGAGTATCGGACTTCATGGAATGATGATACCAGCTGGGTTGTGGAAGAATGATGAGCTCTTTCTTGAAACTACAACTGGCCACCTGGTCTTGTATGATCCTAATACCCAACTTATTCTTAAGGATCTCCAAATCTTAGCCCATAGTTCTCGTTGCCTTGACGTCCATATCTACACCGAAAGCCTTGTTTCAGTCCACAGGAAAGGTGACCCAGGAGAACATAAAAATCCATCGGGTGTCATTGAATTACCCCGATCCTTTCTCTATCAACCTCCATATTTAGGATCCACCAAAAAAAAAAAAAAAAAAAAAGCCTCTGAAAGACAACCGAATCAAATGCAACTTCTCGTTCTCATGTCGTAAGTTAAGATTTAATTGAGTCAAATTATGATTCAGTTTATGACTCAATTGAGTTGATTAGAATTGTTTGTAACATTTTGAATTATAGTAACTTATATATATAGATATACACACAGGTACCGATTGAGTCATAATTTAGAAAGATTTGAATACCCTTTTTATTGTAAATAAGTTTCCTAAAAACAATTTTGAAAACTAACCCCACATTTAATTATCTCTACAAAAGCCTAAAATTTAGGAAAATTAAAATCCATAATAAATCTTCTCTATTTTTTAGGGATATGTTTCAAAGTTTTTGTAAACTTTTGAAATTTGACAACTAAAATTAGAAATTTAATTATCTTATCTTAAAAAGAACTAAAATTAAATAAAAAAGTTTAATTGAATTTCTTTATAAATCAAATTCTCTTTTATTTGATTTATCAATTTTATTAAGGTGGAGATATAAATTCAAATAATATTTGTTGACCATTATAGTAGTTAATATACCTTTAGAATCTATTTTCTCTATAGGTTCAATCATGGATAAGAATGGTGTTCCCAAAATTACGAATTGATTTAAATTTGTTACCAACATAAAAGTAGAAGGAATGCAAATTCATTGATTACATATATAAACATTAGAAAGTTTAAAGTTTATAGTTAATTTTAAACCATTAGCAGTACTTACTGACTGAGTAATTTTCTCGAAGTATTTAATTGAAATTAATCATTTATGCAATTTATATCTGCTCCGCTATCAATTAAAGCAATGTTTTCGACAGTAAATTCTTGATTTATTATAAGTATAATTTTAACATACCATTTTTGATAAGTCATTTTTTCTAATACATTTAAGTATTCATTATTATAAGAGTTTGATGTCTTTATGTAGTCTTCTTTAATTGTTGCTTTTTCCAAAGCTAAACGTCTTTGTTTTATGACTTTTATGTCATATTTAAGATAATAAATCTCTTTTCTTAAATCTTGTATCGTAGTGGGAGAAATTTCTTTTAGTTGGAGTGGGTTATCAGTCGAACTTTCTATCATATTAAGGACTTCTTTTAAAGAATAAGGTTGAGTTAAAGAAGGCTTCTTTTTTTTAAGAGTAACTTCTAAATATTACTCGATAGCCTTTCTTTTAGATACTGGATCAAGTATTTGATCTATAAGATCAAAGATTAATGTTTGTAACTTAGTGAAAGTATTTATATTTAATCCCTTTGTAACTTTATAGTTATCTTGTGCTTGATAAGATAAACAGGTTTTATTGTTTTGATTAATTAAACATTTAGAAATCACATATCTAACTTTCTTCTTTTTAAAGAAAATAATAGATCTTTTGTCTTTATCTATAAAGGATTTAGTGGAATTGGTGAGTTGTCCTTTTTTATTGACTTTAATATCATTATCCCTTTTATGAAATCTCTTTTTCTTCTTAAAAGTCGTAAGAAAAGACTTAGTAAGGAAAGACTTTTCTTTTAGAGACTCTTCTTTATTAAATGTCTTAGCATGCTTATTTTTATAAAAGAACTTATCCGTAATAGTTAAAGTTTTCTCTTGAAGATGTTCACCAATTCTTGCATTAATTTGTTTAGTTTTAGTTTTCAAAATACTCTTCAAGTTTAGTTTGAAAGGATACATTTAAGGACAAATTTATTAATTTATTTTTAAGTTCATTTATGAACTCTATTTCTTCTTCATCATAAAGAGGCAATTTTTTAAGTTTATTTTGCATTACCTGAAGACGCAACTCCTCCATAACTACTGTTTTAAACTGCTCATTATTTAAATGAGGTTTTTCTTTTTTAATTTGTTATTTAAGAACTTCAACAGAATTGAAATTAGTTCCAGTTTTTATACTAGTAGAGGGAATAATGGTTGTAGAAGTTGAAGTTTTATCTGTCTTTAAGACATTCCGCTATGACTTGTCATTTAGATTCAAGCAAATAATTATTCCATAGACAAACATGATATTCTTTGATTAATCTTGGATGTCCATTATGATTAAAATCACAAGTCAAAGTCCACACTCAAATCTATGGAACAAAGAATTCGAGTGAGAAATTAATAATTGGCTTAACCGCTATATCATTATCCATTAAGGATGGACTTTTGTATTTATATAAGTCGAATAATTTTTTCATAGGTTCAGGGTATATCCTTTCGATAGCACTATGAATTTTCCACCAATAATAAAATCAATTAAGAAGTTTCTGTACAAATTTCAGTGAATTAGAAGAACCATGAATGCTTTAAATTTATAACCTCATATAAGAAAGCATTATCCCAAGTTTCAATATAATCAAAATAGTTATACTTCGTATATGGAAGATTTCTTAGTGTTTGGGGAATAATAAGATTAAGACTCCGGTCTTTAGAAGATATTACCCTTAATATAAGGGTTTTACTATATTGAGGATCTTTATGATCTGAATTATAATTGAAGAATCTCTGAAATTTAACAGAGTCTGTCTCAATCAAAATATTTTCATAATATTCTCTGTCTTTATTTCCAGAAAATAAAAATGATTGATTTATTGTCATAAATCGACCAGCAATATAATATGGATCAATCATCTAATTTACATACTCATAATCAAGAGTTATTATACTGCTATAAGTAGGCAGTATAAATTTTCTTAGTGGGATACTAGGGTATATCTTAGTTCTACAATTTATTTTCAATATCAGAGAATTCTATTTTTTTCATATTTTTAACAAAATCATCTTTGTGATTAAATTTGAACTTAAATAAGTTTAATGTCATGTTTGGTAGATAACCAATGGGTTTTCTATTGACTTATATGTTTCCCTATTACTTTCTTATAGTTGCTGCTATAATTCGTCTTTTAATTCTTCTACAGTACTACTACATGGTATAATAAATCATGCTATTATTATTCTCATAGTTATTTTCTTCTACATCCTACTCTTGTTGTCAACGATTTACGAGAAACCAAAGCGGCCTCACTCTTTCACTCAGACAACGGCCTAACATCTCACACGCGACTTTGGTGCAGACTCATAGGAATAAAAAAAAATCATTATAACAGAACAACCTAAACAAGTTCGAAGTAGGAGTAGTATAAAAGAATTAAATCACAATTACATAAGCAACACAATATATATATATAATACTAAGAAATTACACTATAAAGGTTAGTTTTTATTACTCATACAATTTTAATACAGTGTATTGATACAGTTTAAAGACCTAATTTCGTATACCTCCTTACAATTTTTCCAAAAAAAAAAAAATGGTGTAATGAACCAATTTTCATTCATTCACGTTGACATTTGGGGTGCTTATTTTGTGGCTTCGTGCAATTTGACTTTGTTTGATGAAACACAAATATGAAACTCAATCACTTTTGGAAAAACAAATTCCACAATTAAAACCCGGTGTCAGTCTTTTAAAAGGCTTTGAAGTGATTCTAGTCTTGAATTTATCTCTATTCAGCAACTCTAACGAACGAGAGATCTAGTTACCGTACTTGTGTTCCCACCCCCGACAAAGTCATGTTGCTAAGTGCAAATATCGTCATATTCTAGAAATTGCATGCACTCTACTTTTTCAAGCTTCTTTACCACTCAAGTTTTGGAGAAATTGTGTTCTCAACACATTTAATCAATTGCATGCCAACTCCTTCCCTTTCAGCTAAATCTTATCACCAACTCCTCCGTCATTGTAAGTCCTCATAGTATCACTTTAAGGTACTTGATTGCCTATGTTACGCTCATAACTTCTCTCCGAAACATATAAACTCCTTCACGTTAACTTAAAACTTATCACCAAGACATTCTAAACTCTCAATAAATCTTTATACCCAACATGCCTACCCTACCGCATTCATGTTCTAAAAAAACATGTTTTCATTAGTTTCAACATTTTTATAACCGATCATAAATAACCCTAATCAATTATAAGTAAGTTCACCTTAAAAGATGTAACTTGACTGGCAAAAATAATAACTTTCAATGCACTACAAGGAATTTTTTCCCGATAGCCTAGTGTTAACCCTAATGTGTGTGCTTTCAAGCTTTTGAGCATCTCTTCAAGACTGTCAGAGTACACCAGACTCAGAGTAGGATCTTGTGCCTCAGTTTATGAATGTATGAGCGTATGGAAATACATTCAACAGGTTATTCATCACTTCCTTAACACTGAAAACAATGACTTTCAATATGCTACATAGGGACAGCAAATGTAGACACGAATAAACTCGTCAAACTCATCAAATAATTGGGTCAACACGGATTCGGTTGAACACCTTATGAACCTGACTAAAGTGAGAAAAGAATTTCACAACCCGTGGACCTTCTACCTCCATATATCATTGCTTCATCAGGCTTTTGCTTGTTTCCAAAAATCCCCACCTCTTTAAGCTAGAATACCACGAATAGAATTGTAAGGCTCACCCATATAGCTTATGAGGGTGCACACAATTTATGACTTTGAAGCACAGCATGACAAGACACGAATGATCGACCCTAATGCCCAGGCAGCAGCATGCACATCTACCTAAAAAATCAGCAAGTCGACCAATGTAATCTTCTAGTTTCTCATAAACATTGAATATCAGAATCATTATTCAGTCTGATGCTCGGTTTGATTTTGTCAACTGAGTGCCGGGGGGGGTGGACTGAATACAAATGTTTTAGTATTACTTGCACATCCATCACAAAATATACTTTACTATGGCAGGTAAAAATTCAACACAATTTATGTCAAACAAATTAGGACTTCATGTCATCAATCTAGGTGTCTATGCAAACCACAATGCCAATTATTGAAACACAGTGTGTTAATTTAATGGTGGATGACTAAACGAGACCGAACATTGACAAAAATACGAAATTCCGAGGATCTAGATTCTTTCATGGATGTGAAAAAGGAAAAACCTCATGATCAGATTTGTACAAAACTCAGTAACTCACCCACTTGCTAGGATAACTAAGGATCTGCAGGGGTTATGCAAAATGCATCCTTTACCTCATTTTCATTTCCTACAGCAGAATCCAAAACCACAAACAATCCCACCTTCCCAACCCCACAGCCAGCCCTAAGCTCTTCCCGCCATGGGAAAAGATAACAAGAAGAGAAAAGAAAATTTTCCACAAACCAAACGAACTATAAAGACAGTTTCTCACAAAATAAGTCAGGGTACTTGTGGCCATTAGGCAGATTGTATCAGCTATCGAACAGAGACATGAAGTCATATTTCAGAATCACATGTATGAAGTATGTCGAATTTCAGGCAAATGAGGTCAAAAGGCTAAGTAGAGGAGACGGCAACAAAATCTGACTACCCATCTTGCTTTTTTCTTCAATAAGAAACAATGCCAAAAATAAACACAAATAACATTACATCATTATATTTATTATAAAAACGCCTCAAAGATAAATCAAAGATTTCGACCATACCACCAAAAAAAAAAACAAAGGACTGTACATAAGGGAACATTTCATGAACCATCAAAGATTTATAATATATATACCACAAACGCACACATGGTATACGAGTGTACTGCATTCCACTAAACCCTAGCATGCGTGAAAGTCTCAGACTGTAATAGTCACTTTGAAAGTTCCATTCCGGACTTCTCATAAGCACTTTACATGTTTGATAAAAGGTAATCATAACAAAAATAGGGATTGAGAGGAAAGAAGAGTTTGGAGCGAAAAAGGTAACAAAAACGAGATAGTCCACAATATAGGCTAAATCAGTGATCTGGTGATTAAAAATTGCATCAAACGCCACATTAGAAGCAGGCTATTGTTGTGAGGGATCAGTTGAAACATCAAAACCAGGAGGGATGAAAACAACGTCGTCCCACGTCGACATTGATGTATCCTGACAAGTTATTTTCAATGTTACTTTTATTGTGGGTATGAGAAAATACATAATCCAAAGCCGAAAGGACAGGAAAACAACAGAATAATTTAGAATATTAGGACTACACCAGAGAGTTGTAGCCAAAGAATAGAGGTAACTCTGTTATTTCCTTATAACTCCCATCTTCTAGGCAATGGACTAATTTTCTTAATCTTGAAGAATGAGGGGCAAAGGAATTGATCAGGAAAATCTCCTTTTTATACGATCATGATAGGATTTGCCGTTGGTTGATAAAGAGAATAGTAAAACATCAGATGCATGTAATATATAAAAGTTCCTACCTTCATTCCTTGAATAATATCCTCAAGAACAGCAACCTACACGACAGAAGAGAAATTTTGCATGAGACAGAAATTCTGCAACTGAACAGACATCAAACAACCCTACCTGAATATCCCCCTCCCTGAAGGCAGGATTCAATTTCTTCTGCTGGCGCGAAGCTCTTAATAGGGACTTTTCTAGGTCCTCCTACAAAATTCGTATAGACTAATAAGAAGGAATGTAACTATAATGCAAAATTTAGCCAGCATACTAGATGCTAAGATAGTCACTTCTAAACTAACCTTCCTGAAAAAAACAGGACGGTATCTCTTGTTTTGACTCCTCAGTATCAAGCTCTTTGACTGAAATACATAACATTTAATACAAATTGAATTATTAATCAAGTAATTCATTAGAGAAGTAAAGAACTGATGGATTATGTCCGGCTATTAAACGAAACTTGTGCATAAGAATGGGAAATATCCTATAATATACTGGCAAGAGAAATTCAGCCTATCTCATGACTTCTCAACTATGCTTGACCTCCACTAACATTTTGGGCCAAGACTGTCACCCCTGCCACTAGTTTCAAGCAACATTTTAGACGATGTGAAAAAGGACTCATGGTACTATACTGGTCAACAGACAGGCTTGGCCATTTGTACAAGAAGTTAAAAATAGAGTGAAAAGGAAACAAATATGCAGGAGCAACCGCTAAACTAGAAAAGGCATCCATTTTGGAAACCTAGTGCCCACTGCTAAGGATATCGGTCCCACAACAACCAAGAAAAGGGAAGCCCTTTGTAGGCAATTGAATCTTTGTTTACATGATCATTGCAACCAGACCTCATACACCATTATTTTTAACCCAATTATCCCTGCGTGGAACAGTCAAAGACTCAAAGTCAACCAAGTAGGCACATTATGCATGTTCGCTGAGAGGCATAGAAGATTAGCATTATAGCTAGAGTTCAAATGCATTAAAAATCGAACAGGGGCACACAAATGGCTCGAGCTCGGCTTTGCCTTGCCTCGAATATGAAACGAGCTTATATTCAGCTCATACTGAAATATGAACAAGCTTGAATGAGCCAAAACCGAGCCGATCTCGAGCTCAAGTAGCTCAGTTCATGTACCATTCCTAAATGATTTCTGTTAAGACTTGGAATTCTGCTAATATGGAGGGGGATAAAATTCAGTATGAAAAAATTTTAAAAAAAGAAACAAATAAAAGACAAGCATAAGAATAAAACAAAAGGCCAACACATCACTTTAACTAGAGACCAAGCCGAGCTCACCAGTTGTGCTATTGGGTTTTTAGTATGTTTTCAGAATGCTCCTGTTTCCATGCTTCATAGAATCTTACATTTTTATAAATACAATAATTAGTGCCCCAACGGGTGTAGTGAGAGACAGCTATGACATAGTGGTGGTGTTCAGATGATGGTTCTTTTAGTGTTGGTGGGCAAACAGCCGTGGAAGTCAATTATTTGTCTTGAATAAAGAGGATAAACACAACACTGTAGTCATATTTCTTTAAAATCTACTTTATATTTATTAAGAACTGCAAGAAAAGTATAAAATCAAGTTTCATTATGCCAAAAACAGTGTCAATTAGGGTATACAGGAGAACTATGCATCAAGTTGAGTTTTGGACCAGTTAATTGTTTTATGAGTATTTACTGGGGAAAAACATACATCAAGATTAGTATCCTTCTTAGAGTTTTTCCGTTCATATCAATCTAAGTTTGGGAGATAAATGAACGTTGAGAAGCATGAAAGAACTGCAGCGATTTGATTTTCCAAGTAGTCATCACGGCATGAGTAAAGCCCATGTTCAGTCAGGCGACGTAAATTATTATTTATCAATTGGAGAATGCATCATAAGATTCACTAAATTTGCACCAGGATTTATCATTTGCCCAAATCCACATATTCATCTATTTAGTTCAACTTATATGTTGTGGACCTCTATGGTCAATGCTTTCTTCAATTTAAACATTTGTTCATGTAATTATTTTGAAATTTTCTACTACTGCACTCGTAGTTGCAGAAGACACAAGGTGTTACTGATACTGCAAAGAATTATTAAGGAAAAGAAAACCTGGAAGACGGGAACGCCAGAGAAGCTCTCATCAGAGAAACCAGCCTTTAGTCTCTCCTACAGAAAAGAGGCATAATTAAAATCAGTTTAACATAATATGTCCATGAAACATACAGATGAGTGAAATCAGCAATATTCTACCCTCAAATTTCCATGGAAAAAAAATGTTATTGGCTGAACTCTGAAGATTATATTTATCGTCGACAATGATGTCACTCGAAAGAGACGTCATTTCAAGTGTTAAATCATTGCTAAAAATGCCATTCAAACTTCTAAATTTATTGTGTCTGCCTAACTACCACTTGCTTCTGATTCATACACCCCATTTAAGGCATAAAAAATACATAATTGCAATTTGAGCACATAAGTAGTTAATGTTAATTGAAATCCATCACCAAAAAGCGATGAGACATTGTTACACAAAGTAGCCACGAAAAAATAGAAGGGCTCATTTGAATACTAAGAGAAACATATCAAAGTCATTTTAATCACTGAAATATATTTATTTACATAATTCACTTTCCATCGCCATTAAGAGCATCCTTTTATTTAACCAGAAGATGGCAGCATTCATAAAGTGTGACTTCAAAAATCTCTGCCGCCAAAGCCTTGCATAGTAAATATCTGATCTTGCTTCCAATGGATCTTTGAATGTCAACTGTTAAAAAGGGATTATGTATGCAATCAACTAAAAGACAACGAGGATAGCGTTCAAGCTTAAGAAGACAGATGATGGGACTACAAGACAACATATAACCATGAGGTAGAAGCTATAAAGACCAAATAACATAGTAGACAGTGAAAGCATATCTAGTTGATGAAGTCTGCTGGTAGTCTTATTCAACTGCTGTGTGTGTTGAAGGGTATGACTACCCCCATTCCACGGTTTATCACAACCTAAGAAGAACGGATACAAACACAGGAATACGACAAAATTCTAAAATACAGGATACGGGTACGGTAAGGATACAAGTAATTAAAATAATATTTTATATTTTATATATAAATAAAAATATTATTAATAAGACCTAGCAAACATTAAGCATTTAGTTAATATCTTGCAATTGGGTAATGGACTAATATCAAATTGGACATTGGACTACTATATTACACTTGGGCAATGGGTTAAGACCAAATTGGACAGTGGGCTAATCTATTTGACAACTAATAAACAAATTATACCATGGAAGAAGAAAAATATTTAAAAAATGAACAATCTGTTCAAAATTCAAATCGAGAGAGAGAGAGAGAGAGAGAAGAAAATAAAAAGGCAAACGTTGTAACTAGGGCAAGCCAACAGCTCACACAAATCGAGGAGAGAGAGAGTGAGTAAGTCGATCTAATCTAGAGGCACCTCGAAGCTAACCGGAGAATCGAAGAAGTGGAAGGAGAGAAAGGGATCGATGAACACATACCTGAACGGCTGAACCAAATCTAAACGTGATCAATCAAAGAAGAATTGATTGGCATCATCCTCTTTAGATCTATGGATGACCCTCTGGTTGGTGTCTTTCTCTTCCCTTTTTTTTTCAACCCCTAAACATTTTATAATAACAAAAAATAAAAAACCGCCATATCCCGAAATATCAAATACGTGTCCTCCCGTATCCACCACGTATCCCAATCGTATCCGAGTAATTTTTTTTTCCTATTCAGGACACTTTCAAAAGTGTTAGACACGTGTCTGACCATGTCCCATGCATATGCATGTCGGACACATATTCGGCCACGTCGACCCCCGAGCAAGTATCTGTGCTTCCTAGATCATAAATTTTGGACAAAAAAAGTAAAATTAGTCAAAATGATCCAAAATATTTGAAGGGAAGTCAATAGCCTTTTAGGGATTGGCTTATTTCTAATTGAAAACAATGCATAAATAAAAGAAAACAGTACATACCAAGATCCCACTAGAAGCATTTATGCCAAACAATCACCAGTTTGAACAAAGGCTGACCCCAATGAAGTGTTGAGAAAGTAGAGAAGTGGTGGGAGAAGCGAGAAGCCTTTGTCCACGAAAATGTACAAATCACCCAGAGCAGCTTATGTACAGTTGATGGAAAAGAGGTAATTTGCATTTCCTCATTAGGAAGACAGGTGATAAGGAAGGAATTGGATTCATGCAATAAAGCAACCCCGCATTCTGAACGCAAATATCAATGATTTCTGTACAGCCTATCTCTATCATATGATTAATACCATGTTTGCTTCATGTCATTGATTTGAAAACTGAGTCACAATTCCCTCCATGTGACCCTCTAATATCCTTCACCACAGCTCTTGATTATTTTGGTACCTTCCTACTGAAAGTGTGTTTGATGATCTGGAAGGAAAGGATATTTGCATTTCTAAGGGAGAGACGGCTCAACAAAGGTAGTTATTAATCATTCAGGAACCTACTCCAGCTGTCCTAATAGTATCAAGGTGTTATTTGCATCTAATTTTGAATCATGATATTTAAGTCCTATAAGGCTTTAGTGGTTCTAGAATTGCCTCGTACAAGTTCAGCATCCTGTAAAAATATATGTAATCTTGCAATTGAGTGAAGCTGCATAAGGAAACAAAGATGTTATGTCTGAAAACAATCAATTAGCAAATCTAAAAAGGTGATGTTTGAAGAAGTTTAAGTGAAATTCCTATAAGATTTTCTCCTTGTTCTGCTCTTTCTTCTCAGTGATCATATTTGCCTATCAAGTTGGAGCAACATTACTTTTTCACCTTCAAATGTACCAGCACTTAAGTCTCATCCCTAAAACTTTATGGCTCTACATTTTCTTGAACCCTTTTAGCAAATTATCTAACACACAAAACACTAAAAAGTTTCTGGTCAAAATTTCAACCATGTATTCTGCATTAACAGTAACCAAATTCCAACCCGTAAGACACCACAACGCCTATGAACTTTGTCCAAACTTTTCTTTGATAGGTAAGCTTTCCTCAGACCTCAAGTTTAAATCTCCAAGCTTCTGATAAGCTTTACCAACCATGGACCCAACCGTAGGCAACATTACTCCAACCAATGCACTAGAAAAGATCATTACTCAATACATAAATACTACTTTCTGCCATAAACAGCTATATATTTTACTTAAACAGAATACTTTAATATAGAGCTTACTTGCTAAGGAACTCACTCATGCACATAGCAAGTTTGTGGATGTAGAAAACTGGAACACCATAGAAAACATTATGCAGAGCGAAACAGAAAACACAAGGGACTTCAAATTGCACACCTTTATTTACGCCACTTCATCAAAGTTCGGTGCTAACACAGCTCCTAGTGGATCCCAATTTGTTTCGTATCATATTTTGTGTCAAGTTCTTCTCTCATACAAATTTAAAGTATTGTGAAATCCCTATTATTGCTATCATGACAATTATCCCCATAAGTAATTATGTAAGTGGTATGTGACTATTGTAGTATTTAATTAAAAGGTTTCAACAGAAATAACAAAAATATTTGTGACAAGATGTCCCCATCTTATTTTGTGACTCCAACAGGCCTCTACATTAAATAAGGACATTCCAGAGGGGATCTAGACCTATTAAAAGACCAATTATAGATAAGAACCCACCCAAGGAAGTTATCCTAATTTGGCAGAACACGGCAATAAGATTCACTAAAGATAAGGGGAAAATCCCCAAAAAATCGACATCAGTTTCCAGGTCACTCACCCCTGAGGGCCTGACTACTACTGATTCGCCAGAGGCCCCTTGTGTAAAAGCGAAACATTCAAGAGCAACGTACATCTCTGCTGAAAAATACACAGCTTAAACAAAACACACGAGTTAAGTATATGCATTTTTTCTTCATCTTGAAAGCTCTTTCTCTTCATAGATTGGCCTCGATATTTAACTATGTATTTTTGTCGACAAAAAGAATTTTTGACTTGAAAATTGACATGATAGAAAAATTGCTTATATTTATTACAAATTTTTAATATAAAAGCATAAAACAATAGAGACCATTCTTAATACAGCCCAAGTTGTAGCCCAAACCTATTGCATCCAGCTAACACCCTTAGCTAGCTAAAAACCATCCTCAAGTTTCTAGCCAATTCCCTCTCCCCAGCCACGTGACACCTACTTCATGCATTCCACGGAAGCACCTCCATGGATATCTTTTGAACACACACCAAATCCCATATGAAGACGACTTGCAGTGACAACCAAGGGGAGGAGGAGGAGGGAACACCAAGAATTTTGTCTCAGGTAAATCCTCAGGTATTCCTCCTTCTCTCCCTTCATTTCCTCTTCCTCTTTCTTCACTTCTTCCATCTTCAGGACCTTTAATAAACACCAAGAAATTTTTTGGGCTATAACGGGTCACCAATTATGACCTTTATGAACCAAACCCGTTGAAGGCCTGTAACACAGCCGGTAGAGGTTTTATTAAAAATAGCAGTCCAATAAGGGCCTATGAGGCCCTTTTTCAAAACAAGTAGATAGCACAGGGGTCAATGACGATTGTTGAATTTTGTATAAAGAAGTGGACAACTAAGTCAAAAAAGCTCACTGGATATGCTCAAAAACTATAATAGGTGTACATTGAAGAATTAGCAGCAGTATGTTACATGAAATTTTGTAAATCAAGTTCGCAAAATCTCACATATCCTCAGACATGGTGAATAAGTGTTAAAAACTCAAACATGGAACATTCCCAACCCAACCAATCGAGTGTTAAGGATTGCCTATCATAAATGATATCAAGATTAATAAGCACAACATTAAGAGAGCATCGAGCCCATGGCTTAAAATGTTAGTAGATCCTTATGCCTATCCAGCTATTTGCTAACAAGTAATGGTGACAATGCGAATCTAATTGAAACATCATGGTAAGGGTAAAAAGTGATACTGCTAGTCTGGCCACAATAACTAACACCTAACAACCTGTATGTACTGATATATGCACCGATATAAACAGAAAACCTCATCTCGATAGCGCAAAGCATTAGCATGAGTACAATGGCATCCTAATGCCCGTCCATATTTACTGTTCCTGACCATACAAAATTTAAAATGAAACTCGTTCACTTATTTAATTTAAGCTTTCCTTTTTCTTTGGGAGGGAGGAGGTGGAAAAGATGTAAGATTGAATGCATGTTTGGAGTGATTAATTTGGCAGAATTAATTCATTCAGTAGTGAAATCAGATTTTGGTTTGCATAATAGGGTCGGTTGGGATTGGGGCTTGAATTATACCCAAAAGCACAAGAATCTTGTTCCAGAATTTAGGGATTCAAATGACCACTCAACTTTCATTAGTGTCTATTCACATAGCTATTTTCATTTTAGACCTACATAAGTTAGGTAGACAGTACACAAAAACTCCACACCTAGAGGAATAAAATACATGCTCCATAAGACAATATCACGAAACCCATTTTTATCACAAAAATCACTCACCTTAAGTGCATTCTTTACTTGAGATGACTCTGGTATCAACCTGAAAGCAACCCCATCTACCTTAAGCTGAAAAACCTGCAACATCACTCACCAATTAATCCCCACTACACTCCAACCACTATACACCAATCAATCAATTAGATATACACCCAATCCTAATAAATAAACAAAAAAGAAGCAGTTTATCCAAATAATTGAGACCAAAACAAACACACGCCGTAGATATATCAAGAAATACCTTATTGAGAGCCACAGCAACAACTTTCGAACCCTCCCGCATTCCAGGGTCCATGGATTTCATGTGTTCAAGAAGACTCTCAGCATCCTCTTCCTTAACACAAAACAACCCAAGAGACTTACCAGAACCCACACCTGAAACCAACACGAATTCTTCAGAAGAATTGCTCAGAGCATACACGGGCACACCAGCCAACCTCTCTTCAATGGCCTCAGTAGACATAGCAACAGTACCAGACCCAGGAGCCTTCTCAGTAATTCTAGCCCATAATGGCTCTCGAGCACGATAGCGAACGAAATTGGGATTCTTTACATGGTTTTCAAGGTGGGTTTTGAGGGAAACGAGGTGGGGTTTGAGGAGTTGGTGGTGGTTTTGGAGAAAGTTGGAGCAGTGGGTTTGGAGGTTGGTGAAGGCTTGTTGGAAGAAGAAGTGTGTTTCGGGGGATTGACGTTCGGGTTGCGGTGGTGGTGCTGAGGAGGGTGAGACTTGTTGAGGCTGTTTGCCCTTGAAGAAATTCATTGTTTTCTCGGGAAAATGGGGGACTTTTGAGTTTTGAGGTTTAAGAATAGACGGAGAGAGTGAAGACGGAGAAACGAGAAGAATAAATGGGGTTCGTGAGCTTTCACGGAAAGTGATAAAAAAAAAAACAGGAGAATTGCACTTTACACTTGAAGAATTTTTATTCACTTAATCATTTAAATTTTTTAATATTTAAAATATTACATATTGTTTTTAACATTATATAACATTTAGATTCTGCCTTCAATATCTATTAATATATTACATCTAATCCTCTTGAATTTTATAGGCATTGTGGTCAATTTATTTGATTTTTTTTGTTTTACTCTAATAAATAATATAATTATATATTAATTATAATTTTGTTAAAAAAATTGAATATTTATTTTTAATTTTATTTTAATAAATGATACTCCCTCTGTTCCTAAATCTCTGTCGTTTAAAGTTATTGCACAGAGATTAAAGAAGCTATTAAATAGCTTTAATATAAGTAAAAAAATAATTACACAAGACTAAAATAATTTTATTCAATACGTATTGTGAAGGAAAGGAATATGAAAGACACTTAGTCTCCACTAAATCTAATGCATTGAAAAATTAAGGGTAAATTTGGAAGAAAAAATATTATGGAAAAAAAATGTGTAAAACGACCGATATTTAGGAACGGAAAGCGTATAATAGAACATGAATTTTGATTGAAAATTTTAAAATAGGTGATATATTATCTTTAATTGAAGTATTTTTGTTTAAGTATAATATTTTAAACTTAAGGGATTTATATATTACACACCTAAAAATTTAAGAGATGACTGAGTGTAATTTACTAATGAATATAATAGACATTGATGGTAGATGTTTAATATTACGCACATACAAACCTAAAAATCTATGTGTAATATTTTAAATGTTAGGGGATTTAAGTAATTAAGTGACAAACTTTATGAGATCTAAGTGTAATTCTCTTATTTTTATTTTTAAAGATTAGATTTTTACACATTATACTATCACTATATTAAAAGAATTATAATATGATCATTCTATTTATTTCTAGTACTTATTATGTCAATTGGGGTAGTTATTGATGAATATAAAGAAGAAACTAATTGAATGACAGCATTAAAACACTTTTAACATATTGATGGTATAATATAAAAAATGTATAAATCTTTCAAAATTCAAAATAAAATTCTCATTAAAAAAATGTGTTGCTTCTTTCTTTTTGGTCTTTTTGAAAGCTTTACCCACCTATTTTCCCATTCATAAATTATGAGATCTTAAAATATTTACTAGGGGTAAGCTTTTCTTTCGGGTACTGTAATGTGAATAGTTTTGAGTAGAATATTGGTAACTATTAGATGAGTTTATTTGAGATCGTCGATAAAATTTATGAAAATTATCCTGTTTTATATTATAGAATTTTCAGATTAATTACACCCAAACCCTTTGAAACTTCCCCTCAAATCATTCAGATCCCGTAGAGCATCAAAATAACACTCTCACCTCTTATTAGTGACCTTTTGGATGCAAAAGTGAGGATAGTAACGAAATGAATCAATTTGCCTCTAGCATGCTTAAACCTATTGAACAACACAAGCGTTGTTGTCGCACACTACTCATTCTCATTCTTGAACGTATCGTAAAACCAAGCTTGTAACATTGACTATCACTACTATGTTGCAGTCAATCTTACTATGACTGCAGACCACATTCTTGTCAAATAACCCTGTACAAAGCCTCCCCCACCCTAATTCCGATTTGTGTTTCACCTTTCCCCTTCTGCTTAGGGCTGTTCACTCGAATCAACGGATAGAAAATATTGAATTTTATCTTCTGAACCGATGAATTGCGGAAGGTCAATTTCTTGATCGACACTATCCGATCGAGGGTAATGTTCCGAGTCAAATTCCATCAAAAAAAAAGGGCTAAAAAATCGGATAGAAATACACAATATTTTATATATTTTAATTTTTAAAGTTATTAATATTTTGGTCATTTTAATAACTCAATTACCAATTGTTTGAGCTACTTTTACAATTAGGCTATTAAAATATAATATAAGAATATATAAATCAACACAATAAACCAATAACACTAAAGAAAACACAACTCCGATAATATAAACATATAAAACAACGCCGTTTTATAACAAATATATTATATTTTTAAAAAATTGAAATATATTTGTAGATCAAGTAGGAATGCAAAAAATTTATAAGTATTTCCTATTACTACCCACAATTTTGCGAAATACTAAAATTTTTTCCATTAATCGGCCAAAATTTTACATAATTTCAACAATCATGTAGAATCAAATAGAAAAGCACGAAATTTTAAACAACCCTACCTCTACCCCACGCTGGAATTAGAATCCCCCACCACACCATTGATACACTAAACCCCAACTGCCACCACCGTCACTATCCTAGGATGCCAACAAAATCCACCATAGATAATATCAAAATCAAAACACGAGGCAAACATGAAAAAGAGAAAAGAGAAAGGGAACCCAAATGAAAATGAAGTTGACCAGCAAAAAGCCCTAAATCTTTGAGCCTAATATCAAGTGATGGAACAAAACGGTAAAGAAGATAAATTGGCATCACATCATAGCAGAAACATTGCAAAATCAGTGTTCAAATTTGAGTATTAGAGAATGTCTTCATGCACAAGATTAGTGTTGGTATATAATATTACAACTAGAAAATTGAATTTTTAACTTATAAAAAAATAATAACAGTACAAATTGATCTAATTTTATCCATTTTAATCTAATAATACAAAATTCATTCTAAAATTATATTTACTGCTCAAAAAATATCATCTTCTTTCCACGATCTCAAAAACCAACACCCCTCCTGAATGTCAAATAACCCTATTAATTCATATCTACCTCTTTCTTCTCTCTCATATTTATCTTTTATTCTATCTCTGATCACTTTAATTTTAAATTATATAATAAAAAAATTATAATTTAAAATATAAATATTAGATAATCAATATTCTATTTTTGTACTATAGACTGTCTTCAGGTACGTGGTTATTGTTAATGTTTATATATATATATATATATAATATATATATATATAAATATGAAGACATGCGGAATTTTAGAGGAATAAAGAAGAATATGGAACAGATATGAAAATATACAAAATATTCAATTAAAGAAAATAAATACTTACAACACTAGAACTAATGGTCTAGTGGAAATAAGCAGTGATAAGGGAGCTCTTCTTTTGCATCATGAAGAAGGCTTACAAGTGATAGGTGTGATTACAAAACTAGAAGGGTTTGTAATGTTCTTTGAGATCAGACTAGAGAGTGTCTGAAGTTTTCAAAGCTTGGTTAAATGAGGAGAAGGAGCTGCCTTATATAGAAGTAAGGGACTCCGGATTCTTTTTGGGTAATAATTCTGCCTTTCTCTTTTACTCAGGGTAAAATAATTCACTTTCTTGATTTCGGCTGAAAAGTGGAGTAAGATTCTTTTACCCGGGTAATAAGGACATGCTGAAGGGACTAATGGGCCCCGTTTGTCCTGAGAATCCATCTTTCGGTGGAAAAGCAGATTTGTGGGTCCTGCCTTTGTCTATGAGAATCCTGCTTTTACGGAAAGGGGATCCTATGCAGACTTGTGATATTATCTTTACACAGAGTGGTCAGCTTTTCTTTCTTTACTGAAGAAAGTAGTGATTGAAGCCACTTTATGTAAATAATAATTCACGGGAGTGCAAGGTCAGGTGTGAGGTCATCAACATCATCAAAGTCTTCTATTCCTTCAAAAGGATCCTGAGCATATCCTGCTGGGAGTTCTGAAGAGGAACTTTGAGAAGATGATTCACTATCTGAGTCAAGTTGTTCAAGGAGCTTCTGGAGGAGCTTTGCCTTGGACTTCTTCTTGCTGGATTTCTTCTGAGAACCTTTAGATGAAGATTCTTCTGGTTGAACTTGCTTTGTAAGAATGTTAGCCTGGCTTGATTGAGCGGGCAGTTCCTTCATTGGAGTTGCTGGTGGTAAGGGACCTGGAACTACTACTGGAGTTGGTACCCTTACTGGGAAGTCTCGTTTCACCATTGCGATAGTGTCGCTATGCTGAAACCTGGGCCACCATTTGGCATAGAATTGTCGGGTCAAGTTGAATCCAACAATTTCCCAATGCCATTTTAGTATCCACGGGACTTTGTACCTGCAAAGAAATATTAGTAATAAGGGTAATGGGGACTCCTGTTTACTAGGACGGTAAAGGGAGTAAAAGATATTAATCTGATCCTTAAGATCAGCTGGAAAGATTTCATCAATGGGACCATGTTGATGCCACCACTGATTAAACCATGCAGGAATATGGCTTCTGAAATCTTTATGGAAATTAAGGAACCAGGAATGGGACAAATCCTCATTCTGGTAGAATAATATTTTTGACCACGCTTCTATGTAGTCATAATAGTTAAATTGTCTGTTGTGATAAGGAAGTTCTTTGAGCAAAGAAGGGTGAGAACCCCATTCATCAACAGAAATAATCTTGGTAAGCTATGATAGATAACCTTAGTTGGGTTTATCTTATCATGAATAGGCTTGGTAAATATGGATTTGGTATAGTAGAGAATATCTTGGTAAAAACTATGGGGTTTTTCCAAGTCTACTGGGATATAGGTCCAACCTTTTGGGAGGTAGGCCTGTACAAGGTCTATTGGATCCTTGTATTTGGAATGGGCTAGTTCAATGGCTAAAACATTCTCGGAATGGGCTTTGACATAGTCAACCTTTGGGCCTAGTTGGGCTACAAAGGGTTGTGAGGCCTGATAGGGGTTTGTCATGGCACTAGTGGTCCTGACAGGTTGCTGTTGGGCCATTTGGGTAAAGGTTAATGGGTTAATGGTGGTTGATACGGCTACTGGCCGGATAACCAAAGCAGATTGGGCTACTGGCCTTGTGGGCTGAGTAGTTGGTAATAGAAATCTGTTTGACAAGACTAATGGCAAGTCAGGTTCAGATTTAGGTAATGGTAATATTTTATCCTTTCCCTTCCCCTGGAATTTTTGGAGGAGGTG